CCAAAGTTGGAAGAATTTTACCATTAACTTTATACCTTTGTCGTCTGAGTGTTTTCACCATCATCCGCACTGTTACCCCATCACCCTGCACCTACCATTCAGTCCGTCTTTTCTGATAGATTTCCAAGTAAGCCATCTTACAATGTGTGTTTTCAGAAGACTGCCATCCTACTGCTGAGGACATTTATATTGAACGATTAAGTGTTCAGTACTGTTCTAAGCACGTTGCAAGCTTTATCACACGAAATCTTCCCAAACAGGGCTGTACTTCTACTCATTTTATGGGAAAGCAGGGTCTTGAGACTGGGGGTGTGTGTGGGGGGGGGCCGAGATGTGGAGGTGGAGAAGTTTAAAATACTTGGCTGAGATAGCAAAGCTAATACGTAGGTGGTTTATATTTCTCCAATGCTTTGCTGCAGACTTTAAGGATCATGGATGATTTGCACCATGCTTACAATTAATCTTTAGCATCAAGACTTCTAGTACAGAACAGCATTTCTATTCCTCCCTCATCTCACTCCACTTTGGAAGCATTGTTAAAACTTGGATGGTTGAGGGGATGGGTTTAATATTAACTCCTGTCTGTTTTGCTTAAGCACATGTGTATGCATTTGAGGGTGCTTCAGTGACTTTCCCTACTTTAGGGCAAGGAAAGGTGGATTATGGATTGAAGGATACTCAAGTTTGACTTCACTGCTTCAAGTCTCAGCCCTTTTACAAGGGGTCAGTGAATTGTTTCATGACCTAATGTAAAACCGGCAGTTAGCAGAGTGGAAAGATATAGCACATTTGGAAACATGTCCTGGACAATCTCAAATCCTAAAAGAATGATACTCCATTTGTGTAGGATTTCTTTGCTAGCAAAATCAGAATGTTGTAGGGGAGCAGTAGTGACAAATGAGGTTGGATTGGCGTAACTTTGGTAATATTGGCTGAACATAGCCCCAGAAAGCCACCTCCTTTAGAAGGTCTTGCTTTTTCCTTGGGGCTCTGCTCTTTTCTACCATTTCTGTTCTTACAGGTCCTGCATTTTTGGCATGCCCCAGCATTTTGTCAGTCCAAACCACTTTTTTAATAATATAATAGTTTATTTTTACATCATTTTGTGCCTTTTCCCATCTCAATTGTAGTCCCCGTGGGCTTCCCTTCCCATCACCAAATCACCCGTGTGCCATCACCATAGTCCAGTGCACTTCTCTCCCCCCACCGTTTTTGATCCCATTCCCCACTCCACCCCTGTAAAATGTTTCTGGTATATAGTTGTTCATTATTATTATTTTCTCACCTGGCCCTTTATACTCCTGCTATGAGTGAAACCATCCAGTACTTTTCCTTTTCTTTCTGG